ATCACCTAGCCAGAGTTTTCACCTCTTAAACTCACTAGTTTTGATGCTCAAACTTGTAGCTAGAGGGAAAATTCTATTCGGGAGGAAGATATTGGAATTGCATGACTTTCTCTTTAAAAGTGAGAGCATTTATAAATTTTTCTTCATGTTCGGAGAAAATTCGATAATTTAGGAAAAAATATAGAGGTCAGCCTCTTATTTGAAAACTTGTAACTGATTCTGTTAATGGTATCACATTTTATTCATTGGGTTACGTGTTATTTTATTAACAGCCTTAGCAAGCCTGGATGGTGGAAATGTTTACCAGCTTTGAGAGAACCTTTTATTCTCTTGTTCCCTCACGTATGGCTTGGAAAATGCATAAATCTCGAAAGCATGCATGCTGCAAACATAATATCAGGTATTGTAGCTGCATGATAAAGCCGATTTGCAATCAGACTTCTATAGGTAGCAGCATCCTCCACCTTTCTACTTCCATTCTCTTTCATCAGTTTTTCATTGACCACAAGAAGTGTATCTATTGGTTTACAACCAAACATTCTGAACATTTTCAGATTTTTTCAGCTTATCTTTTCCGTGAAATAAACACTTATTCTTCATTTTGTTAGATATCAATTCCCAAAAAAATGACATAGATCCCCCAAGTCATTCATTTCATACATCATCATCATTTCCTTTATAAAATGTTCAATCATTGCAGCATTGCTTCCTGTTATCACCAAAACATCGACATAAACTACCACAATAAGAATATCACCAATGACTTGCCTTTTCACATACAATGTAGGCTCACTCTTACTTTTGTCAATTCCTTTTTTCTCAAGATAACTGTTAATCTCACTATATTATACTCTAGGTACTTGTTTCAGCCTGTAGAGCCCCCAAGTCATTCATTTCATACATCATCATCATTTCCTTTATAAAATGTTCAATCATTGCAGCATTGCTTCCTGTTATCACCAAAACATCGACATAAACTACCACAATAAGAATATCACCAATGACTTGCCTTTTCACATACAATGTAGGCTCACTCTTACTTTTGTCAATTCCTTTTTTCTCAAGATAACTGTTAATCTCACTATATTATACTCTAGGTACTTGTTTCAGCCTGTAGAGCACTTTCTTTAGCTTGTACACATTTTCTTCATAGCCTTGGGTGATAAATCCTTGAGATTTCTCAAGATAAACCTATTCATTTAACTCTCCATTTAGAAAGCTGACTTCATATCAAGTTGATAGAACAACGAACATTTATAGCAGCTAAAAAAATAAGAGCTCTCACCGTATCAGGTCCAGCTACTGGTGCAAATGTTTCTTGATAATCAATACCGGTCTGTTGTAAATAGCTTTTTGCAACCAACCTTGCTTTGTTTCTTTGCACTAAACCATGTGTGCTGTATTTCACCTTGTAAATCCAATTTACGCCAATAACTTCTTTGTTTTCAGGCCTATCAACAAGCTCCCATGTGTTTCCCTTTTCAATCATATCAATTTCTTCTTCCATAGCTTTCTTCCAAGCCTCTTCTTTTATTGCTTAATTAGTTTTTTCTAGCTCTATGCAAAAATTACATCTTGCATGAATGTCGTCCAAATTTCTCATTCTTACTAGAGTTGAACTTGACGATGATGAGCTAGAACTTGGATCTGATGATACATTGTTTTTATTGATGATATATTGGTTTATTCTCACACTCATAATGAACATGCTGAGCATTTGAGGATTGTCTTGCAGACTTTGAGAGATAAGCAGTTGTATGCCAAATTTAGCAAATGTGAATTTTGGCT